CAATTGATTTTTATTTTCATTTAAAAATTAATACTTTGATAAGTTTTTACAACTGTTTAGAAATGCACTTTTTCATACTGTCAAATGTATTTGTACAATTAGATGTATAATAATTAATAATTATCTACTATATGTCTAATTATCTACTAAAAAAAATTGTTCTTAGAAATATAATAAACTCACTTTTTTGTAATCAAATATTAAATTATATTGAAAATGTTTATAAAATAGGTTTTATTTAACTAAGAAACAATAAATTTGTTAAAAAGATTTAATAATTTCAATTATTATTATCTGTATGGTGTTCTTTAAATAGGTATTAAATATATTAGTTTAACATGCACTTACAAATTTATTTTAATCAAAATTTTTGGAAATTTTATATTTTAAATAAATGTTTAAAGTATGATTATCTTACCTTCATTTCTCTAAGAAATTCATTTGTACATTTGTCATTTTTTTTTCGATTAAATTTATTTCAAATAATCAAAACAAAACTTTTAAGCTACACTTTGATCGTACAACGAAGATGAAAAATTGAACATGTAGTATTTATTGAAATCTTTTTAATTTAATATAAAAATTTWAAAAAAAATGTCTTGCATGTTGTAGTTAGACTATTATTGTTTGGTGTATCTTATATCGGCCCTCTTTGAATTGTAATGAGTTTKGTATGCATCACCTCATCGAAATTTCTGTACACGATGCTCTCGGACACCTAAACCAAACTGTTCGTTGCTTATGGAGTGTCTGTTGACCTCTTGCAGTTGCGGTTCGTTTTGTACAAAACTCAAGGATGCAAAGAAGCAAGCACCTCCCTCCGTTTTTTGGCCTTAGCTAGTTGCATTTATATAGTTATAGCCTAAGTCCTGGCGCGTTGGTGACAACGCGTTGTGTATAGGTTCTATTTATTATTATGATGTCTATTCAAATATATATATTGTAACATTAACACTTATTAGAAATGATATCTCATTATTTTATTGTATTCATAACTGTGACTAATCGATATTGTTGACTCGTTTTGTATTTACGGAAGAAATAAACTAATTCAGCTCGTTCAGAATACGAATTTCGCCAGACATTAATTTCTTGTCTCGACTACCTCGGGCG